TGTTATAAACAAAAAATAATGTAATGTGGCAAATATTGTGTTGTGTAAAAGCTAAGCAAGAGAGATAAGTTTGACAGGTATAGCTTTTCCATTGCCTTTTTTTTTATTTTTGGGTTTTTTCATCTCTATTATATAACAACAATTATGTCATATTATCTATATATATATATATATACATCAAATTTTATAATTTTTCATCTTACAATTAGAGTTATCTTTCATTTGATTTGAACACAGAAACAAAAATATTATTTAGTTTCCAATAAACTTTGTTTAGCTTTAAATATCGTTATGGATCCAAACAAAAATGAATAATCCTTTCAACACCCAAAAGTCTTCTAATTACCCTTTTATTTAGCCGAATCACAAAATTGTTAGTTTCCAAATCAATCTTCCAACCAACCCCAACATATACCGACCTATGGTTATATATCCACCAACTTTTTCATACCATTAGTTGTTCCAAACTATTGTCCATATCACCGTCAGCTGTTCCAAACTATTGTCCATATTATTGATTGAAAATTTCATATTCATCCTAAGCACCCTCTAATTCTGCTCCAACGGTTAATAAAAATGATTTGAATGTTAAAGCAACTGATTTTCCCAAGTTTTCTACACAAATGGATCTTGGTAAGATGAGCGTTTTCATGAAACCACTCTAGTTGAAGAAGTCTCACATGGAGAACTAAGCAAAATTTGGTGCTATTGAGTGATTTGATTAAATTTGGAACATACAATATTATGGGAAAAAATCAAAAAAGGTGAATCATATTGGGGTAAAATTGATGAGTACTGTAATGAGCATTGTTCATTTCATCCTCTATGTGTTGGTGAATCATGCAGAAGTTACTACAACTATATAAACAAATGAGTTGGCGCTTATGATAACGCTAAACATATGCATCAAAATGGGTGGTCGGAGGATGATGTATTAGCAAAAGCGCTTGAACTATATATATATATTTACTTGTATGAAGCTTCAAATATAAAAAAAAAATTGCTTGCTATATGTGATCAACCACGTTATGGTAGTATGATATAAAGATATATTGTTTCTGGAAGCAATAAATCTAATAATGTTTTGTGACTTTATCTGTTTATAATGTTTGTGACTTTATCTGTTAATAATGTTTGTTTGTTACTTTCTCCTTTCATATTGTCACATTCTTTTATCATGTTTGTTTGTCACTTTCTCCTTTAATAATTTGTATTTCATGTTATGCTTTGATAATGTAATCAGTGAGTTTTGGTTTTTAATTAGAGAATCTTATCCTTATTTGTGACTTTGGTTTCAACCATTCAACTCGTATCTAAGGTTCCAACTATTCAATTCATAATTAAGTTCCATTTTTCAAGAAATGGAATCGCATTCTTCCATTGATGTATCAATACCACAAATATCATTTTACTATAAAAATCTTAACGGATCCATCAGAATATCCTTTTGATATGGAAGCTTAGTAAAGGTAGTCAAATATCAACAAGAGGTATATCACAAACCAGTTTAAGGAGCGTTGAAAAAAAATAGAGGAAGACTACCTTGTAGCAAGAGAAATACATGCCAACAGATATCATGCTGCAACAAATCAAAGACTAATTAAAAACTACTTTATCAATCACCTACATATGACGATGCAAAGCATTAAACAAAATTTAATCCAAGTAGATTATTTCACATTATTGAACATATTCACTTGGAAGTATTAAACAGTTAAATTATTTTTCAACAGGTGCATTATATATACATAGTCTAACAGAAACACATGTTGAGTGCCGAAGAATGATGGTAACAGCTTATGTTCCTTATTAGCTCACATGTGGTCCTCCTTACAAATTTCTTGCTTCCTCACCCACATGTGACTAAATTTGGCACCTAGACCACGTTTAAACCTTAGCAGATCTCCTTTGTTCATGGACTGCTTTCTCTTGGGCTCCCTCTTAGGTTTAGCTTCTTCTCTTTAGCTTAAGAGAAGCCACACTCAACTAGACCCTTGATGACTCCAATTTTTTCATCACTAAGTCTCTTGATAGTTGTGCTAGTTATGCTACACATACACTCATCTTTGATTGGTCTTTACTTCTCTTAAAGTTTTCACTAGGGCTTGTATTTCTCTCTTCTAAGCTTGCCTTTATGCTTGTTGATCTTTTTACACACGCACAAAAAAGTGAATCTCTTCCTTTGAGCTTGGTTTCCATTGCTCTTCATTGTGGAAGCTCTTACTTACTCCTTTGCTTCTCATGATGATAGTTACATGTCTTATATGAATGGCGAGTTAACTTTCATATATATGGCTTCTTTATCCGGTTTGATAAAATCTACCCGAATATCACTATATCAGAATAAGGAATAATACATTCACTAGAAAAACGAAAACAAGCACATCAAGAGGAGGAAATATCTTGAAATAAATACAAGGGGACACTGAGGAAAAAAATAATCTCGAATTTAACACAATCTTAGCATAAAGACCCTGCTATTGTAAAGTTTTATATAGTAAATTTATCTTGCTATTGTATATTTTTCAATGGCAATTATACGTTGCTATACCATCATTTACAAGAGCATTTATCAATTGTCGTTGAATATTGTTTTTGAGCTTTTTTGTCGTGCTATAATATATTCTTTCCTGGCACTGAGAAAATGCTGTTTAATTTGCAATGGTATTTAGATCTATATTGAATATATATTGAATCTATATTGAGTTGCATCAAATATAATTTGTTATTTAAAACATTGAATTGCAAAAAATGTAATTTGCTTTAATTTATGAAAGACCATAAACATATGAAAGACCATAAACATAACATGAACGAAACGTTGTCTCCTTGTTGTGGTGTCTGTTGTCTGAGTTTCGGTATAACGTTCAACGCGGGGAGGCCGCATACGAGTCCTCTAGCTTCCCTTGAAACAACAGTTCCTGCAGTACCAATTAAAATATTTGTTATTCACAAGGTTGTAACATACTTACACATCACAAGTTGAAACAAAACTTGAGATGTTCTCTGCTTGTTGATCGTTTACTTTGTTGATCGTTCTCTTCTTGTATAGGTGTCTCTGCTTGTTGTGGTGTCTCTCCTTGTTGTGGTGTCTGTCGTCTGGGGTTTGGTACATACTTTACAGCGGGGAGGCCGATTATGATTCCTCTAGCTTCCATTGAAATAACAGTTCTGCAGTAACAAATGAAATTTTTGTTATTCTATATCACAAGGTTAAAACATACACATCACAAGTTGAAACAAAACTATTAGGTAAACTGAAAAACAACAAATGAAAAAAAAAAAAATACAAGTTATACTTTCAATCGGGTTCCTTTCTCAATCTATGTCTATGTGTATGTATATCCTTCAGATTTATCTTTCCCAAAGCCTCAAAGAATGATAGAGTCGAGTGGTCTTATAGCTACACAATAACAAAATTCAGGAAAAAAAAGAAATCGACTTTCATTAACAAAAGCTTCAAAGTAAAAATCGAATGAAAAAACAGAAACAGAGATTCGAGAGTAAAAACAAGCAACAGCACATAATCCTAAAGAAATATCTGTTTTAACAGAAGAGTGAATCGAACCTTTAGATCGATTCGGCAGAGATCAAATGAAAACGATTTTCTCCGTAGATTCAGTCGGCGATGGTGAAAGAAGCTTCGAGGTCGTGTCTATTCGGTTTCCATCGAAGACAACGAATAAGAAGACAAAAAAGTAAATTTTTCGAGATGTACAAAAGGTAATTAAAACAGAGTTCATTAGTGACCGTTAGATTTATTCTAATCAACGGTAGATATGAGAATAATTAGGTGATCCACATCTTAATCAATTAGCCAATGAATAATAATTGTACGATTAGTCTAATATTTTGTTATTTTTCTTTGTATTAATTTTTCTAATATGCGTAAAAATTAATTAAAATTTGAAATTTCATACTTTTGAGTTTAGAAAATTTTAAAATTATATTATCCTTATACAAAAAAAATCTATACATTAAAAATGACTTAATGTAAGGATTAGTGAAAAATGTAATATTAAAGTTTTTTTAATTTCAATAGTTTCATATGTATACTTTATGTATATAATATGAATATGCTTAAAATCTAATTTGTTATAAGTTTTATATTGGTAATTTCATGTTTGATATATTGGTATATATAATTTATACATTAAAAATGACTTAATGTAAGATTAGTGACTAAATTTCATATAACCTAAGTTTTTTAAAAGTGAAGTTTATATTGTCTAATGTTGCCCTGCTTTGAAAATGCGATCAGATTCAAAGAAATTGAATTCTGGGAAAGGATAAGAAGATGAAAATCTGATAATATGATTAATCAAATTAATTCGATAAAAAAAGAGAAGAGAATCGTAGATGATAGAAAATATGATGCATCAATCCATGCTTTCTTAATAAGTTAATCCAAGCAAACAACATACCATGACTTAACTAATCAGACTAATTAGTAGCAGTTGCTTAGTCTTTTTTTTTGGTAACAACAGTTGCTTAGTCTTACATTCCATAACTAACAAAAGATTAGCCTAGCCTTACACTACATAACACTAGCTAATTCGGACCAATGTTTCTTCATTCCCGGACCAACGTTTCTTCATTCCCGGACCAACGTTTCTTCATCCCCCTGCAACAATCATACAATTGATTCATACACTGATGGAAAACCTAAATAAAGCATCTATCACACAATAGTTTTACATACAATGATTAACTAAATCTCTGAGGACAAAAAAGAGAAAAAATATTAACTAAACCTCTTACCTTTCTACTCTGTTAGATTCAACAGAAGACCACTTTGTCTTCTGGCCATGCGATATTGGAACCATGTGCATCTTCCATACACTCCATTTCTAAAGACTTCCTCCAAACTGCAGCATCTTTGACCAAAACTATATCCACCCAAACTCGAACAGCATTCGGTCCCAATCGTTCAAAGTGGACTACTTGGTCTGGATTGTTTGAAAACCAACGTCCTTCAGCAACAACCCGGTTCTTACCAGTACAATCCATTAACTGAATTTTCTGGTTTTCCTTGCAGGCTTTCCGCTACAGAAACAAATAGAAGACACAATCAAATTAAATTACACTCATAGTAATTGAACAGTATCAAACAAAACAATCAATTGTGATGGAACTAATTAACATATAAGATTTAGTATACTCACATATATGATTGAAAAAGACTTAGAACTTCCATAAATTAAAATTTATCTTATTCCCAAAGTAAATAAACATCAATATTCATCTACTTTGAGGTCAGTATCGTGGTCTTAATTTAGTAAAAAATCCAACTCAGAATCAAAGTCCAATAATGAAATAACTTAAACTGCAAACTAGCTAATCAAGATGGTTCAATATCTCCAGACTCTAAACATTTGATGTACGAAACAAATTAGGCAATAGATGTTCTCACTAACAAAATCACCATGAAATAAAACTTAAATCAAATAAAGTTTTGAGAAATAACACGAGCTATTTGTTCCTGTAGCCAAAAATATAATCTATGATTCTACAAAGCAACAAGGTGTAAGTTACACGCCAGAATTCAAATAGAAGCGTTTGAGAATGATAAATTTAAGATTTAGAAGTCATGAACTATATCCAGAGACAATAAATATGATCAGTTACATATGGTCCAATTTATATGTCATTATTAAGTTCATATCTATAAATTAACATCAGGTTTAAGCAGATTTGATCAAGCTTTGTACATATATTCAATGTCGATGTAATCACATGCGCAATTATGGTTTAATATAATGGGCAGACACAAAAACTTTTACACTATACAGAGAGACGACTTAGTAAATATGATTAGCTACATATGGTCCAATTCTATGTCATTATAAACTAATACTGAAAATCACTTATATAGTTCAATGTCTATAGACTCTTAAAATTTGAAGGATAAAACAAAAGAAAAAGTAGATCATGCAATAATATATAGTAAGCTGCTATTCAAAAAACTGGTCTGTTAATTACTATCAAAAACATCATGAGCATGCATACTAAAATTATAACCTACAGATCAGGAAAGCAATAGAGTCAGTGTACCTTTACAGTAGTTGATCTCTTGATGACTATCTCTACTGCTTGAAACCTGTAAAAGTGTGAGGTAACTAAATGCTCAAGAAACAAATAGAAGACAATCAAATTAAATTACACTCATAGTAATTAAACAGTATCAAACAAAACAATCAATTGTGATGGAACTAATTAACATATAAGATTTAGTTTACTCACATATATGATGGAAAAAGACTTAGAACTTTCATAAATTACAAATTAACTTATTCCCAAAGAAAATAAACATCAATATTCATCTACTTTGAGGTCAGTATCGTGGTCTTAATTTAGTAAAAAATCCAACTCAGATTCAAAGTCCAATAATTAAAAAACTTAAACTGCAAACTAGCTAATTAAGATGGTTCAATATCTCCAGACTCTAAACATTTGATGGACGAAACAAATTAGGCAATAGATGTTCTCACTAACAAAAACATCATGAAATAAACCTTAAATCAAATCAAGTTTCAGAATAACACGAGCTATATATTTGTTCCTGTAGCCAAAATATAATCTATGATTCTACAAAGCAACAGGGTGTAAGTTAGAGGCCAGAATTTACACAGAAGCGTTTGAGAATGATAAATTTAAGATTCAGAACTCATGCATTGTACCTTTACTGTGGCTTGTCCTCCTGAAATTGACGAAGAACAATGTTGAACGAGTCTCAGGCGGAAGAAGAACTAGCTTGAAAGATACCTAGGTCGAAACACCCAAAGATTTAGAATAAATGGCGACGAGCTCAAAAGACACAAACCTATGAACAAGGGAGATGGAGGAAACTTACCGTGAAACGAGATCTAGGTCGAAAGACCCAGCTATTAGCAAGAAATTGACGCCGACGAAGGTAGAGATTGTGGCCGGCGACGAGTTCACGGTGGTATAGCGACTTAGGTTTTTTTTTTCTTTGATCCCCTTTCGTTTGTACGGAATTGAACAGTGAGATAATGGATACTTAGCAAAAACAGGCTCTAAAACTCATTTTTGGGTCCTTGTTTAATGAAATTACGGCCCAGCACTAAAAAAATGCTGTAATGTAATACCCAATTACGGGATATCCATATTAATAACAGTTACCAATTTTGAGCTATGCTAATATGCTATAAAAGACCATTTTTCTTGTAGTGCGACTCTCAAGAGTTGTAGGCTCAACTCTTTCTACAAAACTCTAACTTGTTCTTCAAATTAGTTATGAATATGTTTTAACTATTGTTCATCTTGTTCTTGATCCAATAAAGAATACCTATTCCAAATTTATTCTTGCGTAATTTTTACCGGTTTAGACTCGATGCAAGCTATTATGTGATTTATTAAATTGAATATTCTCATGATTTATAAAGTTATTTAAGAGATTCTTTTATTAGATCAGTGGTTTAAAATATTGGATACATTACAAATAGTGAATTAAACATCTAGTATAGTATTTTTGGAACATTTTTGCAAAAATATAATCCACATATATTACAGAAATTCTATTTATTATTTGGTAAAAGAATTCATGCAAAAACATTTAATTAACTTATCTTACAACAATAAATAATTAATATCATTTTCCAGTTACTAATTTCCTTCACTTCTTTCATCTTTATATGATTTTTTATTTGTTTATTAATTTATTTTATTATATTAAACATATGTATAATAAAAGCATAATTCTCGCATATGTTATACTAGGGACGAGCTCTTGCTCTCATGACCATGACCTGAAGACCCATCTCTTAATCTTGTTTCCAAATTCTAAATCATGAACCTTCTCTATATCCAAAATCTCCAAAGCGTCTCTCAACTTACTCTTGCTCGTTTCTCCCTCTGTGTTCTGTAACGAGTCTTTTCCAAAAGGATCAACATATATAAGTGTACGATAATTGTACAATATCCCAAAATGATAAGCATAACTATTGGTTATGACATATATTTCATTTAACGCACCTTGAGGCTAATTGTACCACATCATGTAGATAATTTTAGACAATGGTTCAAAACAATTATAAAATCCCTAAAACTTGTTGTTTCGCCGATTTCTGGTTCCTTTTTTTCGGCGCGTGCGTTCCTTAATCTTATTTTAGTATCTAGTTAAATTTTGCCATTTGAGTAGAAAAGATCCGAATCATTCTCAATGAATCCAACTAATATGCTTCCAACTACGAATGAATTAAAAGACCGACTTCTGAAGCGTCAAGATTTAAAAGTTTTATGAGAATTTTTGAGAAAAGACCCCTTTTGGTATACCCCTTTTCAAAAATAACCCTTTTCTCTATCCATTTTCAAAAATATCCTTGTTTAAATAAGACAATGTTTAAAGTTTATATGGTTTATAAGGTACTTTTAGATAATAACTACTATTGGGAGATTTGATCTATAAGGTTCATACAACATTATAAAAGGTTTTAAATCGTTTCTATAAGGTTTACAAGGTTTTTAAAAGGCTTTTAAGGGTATATATGGTTTTCAAAAGGTTTTTAAAAGATTTTTATAAGGAATTCATACAATATTTATCAAAGATATATAAATTTTTATACCCATATAAAGGTAAGTTGTGTGTATATATAAGCTTACACACATATTTGGTCAATTTCAATATTTTTAGTGGCTTCTTTGATAAAATTTGAAATTTCTTTTTATAAATTTCAAATATTTTAGGCCATGAATGTTTTGTAGTTTTTATATGGGTTTTAGCTTTTAGTTTTTGGTTTATGGTTTTCTTAGTTTTTGATTTTTGCTGTAGATTTTAATTTTTGCAAAATCTTTGAAAAAGATAATATAAAATAAAAATAAATAAAAAAAGATTCACGTTATATTTTTAGGAAACAATAAAAATTGTTTTTGGCATTCTATGAAGGAATTAGAAAAATCTTGTAAAATCTAATTGTAGGGAAACAACTTTTGCTAAAATCATGAAAATGGCTAAAGGTTTGGTTTTTTAGAATCACAAACCTAAAACTATCCAAAAATCTGCTGCCATTCAAGGCCTTAATATTTAAAAGCTTAAAATAAAATAATTATTAAAAATTTAAAAAGGTTCAAATATTATAAATATTTAATCTTTATAGAATGCTTAAAATATTCTAAATATTTAAAATCTAAAGTGTTATTAATATTTTAACTCTGTAGAAAGTTTCACTTAATAAGCATCCAAATTTTAAAGTTTTCTATATCATTTAGTTTGATATGGTCAATTTAAAACTTTTAAGAAATTGTAAAATATTATAGTTGATTATATAATATTTAACTTAATAGGTTAATTTTAGGTGATTTAAATACAAAATTGCTTGTGTTTAGAAACCCTAGCCGCTCCCTGGGACCTTCGTTGAGAATTAGCACGGCAACCCTCACCGCTCCGATGGAATCCCTGTCGTCTCCTCTTCCAGCCTCTTCTGCTCAATCCTCTCTGCATGATCACCCCACGTCGTGGGCTGCCAAGACGAAAGGGACCACTCTGTGTGTGACCGATTTCCAACCTAATTTTTCTGTGGAAAATGGTGTCGCGAATGTTACGATTCGAGCTGTTGTTCGTGAGACTTCATCGGGGTTGTGGAAGTATTTTGTTGTTGGCTATTTCATGGGTGACGCTTCGCATGTGGGATCCATTCACGCCACGGTGAATCAGATATGGACGGTAACAGAGAAGTTGTCAAAGATTGATGTTTAGTTCATAAACAAAACCATTGTCCTCTTTCGCATTGAGAGCGAGCGGATCTGAGACCATGTTTTGTAGCGTAAATACTGGCACATCGCAAAAGTCCCTTTGGTTATCGCTGAATAGACAGCAGCCACTGCTAATTCACCTCCTAATTGATCGGCCATGCCTCTTCCGGTTGATCTGAAGGGTGTCCCTTCCACATTATTTTCTCATAAAGGCCTCAGTTTTCTCTCTAGCTTAGCGGGTAAATTTTTGAAACTCCACCCGAACACTCAACGATGCTTAAGGTTGGATGTCGCTCGAGTCATTGTAGAAGTGAACCTGCAGCGTCCATTGGTGGATTGCATCCAGTTTCCAGACGATCCTGGCAATCAAGTGTCTGTATCCGTTACCTACCCTTGGCTCCCACCACACTGTTCTCTCTGCTCTAAGTGGGGGCATTGTGCAAAGGACTTTAAGAAATATCAGTCTTATCCTTTGAACAGGTTGTTGTAAATTCTGAAATAGTGGAACAAGTAAGTGCTAAAGCGAGAACGTAGCATAGGCTGCAGAAGTATTAGCCCAAGGACAGTTGTGGAGAGACATCGCCCTTGCTCATCTCCCTCTCACTCTGCTCAGCTCGACAAAGAAGAACATGTCGTCGTAATGAACGGTTTTGCAGCTCTCACTAGTGTCATTGAGGATCAAGACACTCAAGACAATCGGGAATTGATCCCTAACTCAAATTTGGTTATGAGTTAGGAAGGGGAGTTGGTTGACTCTGCTTCAAAGGTAGAGGAGGACTCTAGCAAGCTAACTTCAGAGGTTCCTCAACCTCTAAATGGACATAAATAGGGATCAACGAAGCATAGAAGCAGATCGCGTGGCCCTCCGAGGCCCATCCTGAGTACTAGGGAGTAAAAAATACTTAAATATGCTTCCTTAAGGAAGTGATGTCGTCGTTTTTGCCTGGAACATGCAGGGGATCAATCAGCCTCGCAAGCATAATGTAGTAATAAATTGGACGGATTTGGGTTGTTTCCTCTAGTGACGTTATTTTGATACCTTTGGAAAAGAGTTCTAATTTGGGGTTTAGTGGAGTTTTTGGGTAAGAACACGGAAACAACAGAGAGAATTATGGACCGATCTCTGCCGTATTCGATCAACGCTGGTCTCGCCTAGCACTCCTTGGATCGCTATCAGAGATTTTAATGAAGTCTTGTCTCTTCAGGATCATTCCCGAGCTATGGATTATTCTTTCAACAAAGTTGGGATGCGGGATTTCCAAAATACAGTTTTCTTTTGCGATATGATGGATCTCCATGCTGCTGGTCCTAATTTCACTTGGATCAACAATCAAGATGGGAATCCTATTGGGAAGAAGATTGGTTGGGCTCTTGCCACGTCTTCATGGTTAATGACATTTCCTCATTCGTTTGCCAATTTTGAAGCTAATGGTATCTCTGATCATATGCGTTGTGTAATCAAGCTTTCTACCGCCAACTCTGGTCATCTTAAACCTTTCCAGTTCTTCAACTTCATTGCTTCCCACTAAGATTTTCTGCCCATATTCTCACAAGTATGGGCTGATTCTGCTTCGGTACACCACTCTAGAGCAGCACTATCTCTTTTCATCATAATTTAAAGCGTCTGAAAGTTCATCTCCGAGCTTTGAATCGTTCCAAGTTTGGTCACCTTCCTCGTCGAACAGGTGAAGATTTAGACCAGTTTTGTACCATTTAGTCTGCAGCTTTTTCAAATCCCTCACCTGCTAATCTTTAGGATCTATCTACAGCTTCAGATACTGGGCAAAGATTAGGGGCTTTAGAAGAGCAATTTTTCCAACATAAATCTTGTATTACTTGGCTGGGGTGTGGGGATCAGAACAATTCCTACTATTCACTAGGTTTCTCAAGCTAATGCCTCTCGCAATAGCATCCGGTCTCTTACCACGGTCATTGGTGAGGTCTTGACTGCACTAGAGGACATCAAGGCAGAGGCAGCCCGCCATTTTAGGACATTTCTCCAACATGAAGATGAA